AGCTTTGAGATATTTCATTTTAACACTTCGATCAGGATATAATTGAAATAAAATTCATAGTTTAGTAGTATTCTTTTTGTTTATCATTCTGAAAACGAAAATATTGAAAAAAATTGATAAAATTTTTGGATGAGATTGAGAGAATGAGAATACGAACCGTGTAATCTTCTAGAGACATCCAATTGTTTCCTAGAGCAACTCCTAGCAAATAAAATTTGGAGACGTGTATTTAAATTATTGATTCTAGATTATTACAATGTGATCATTTTAAACAAATCAAAGTTATAATATGATTTTTTTTTTACATATAAAAAAAAAGTTATAATTCATCATTTATATTTGAAATTTTTTATTAAAAAAGAAGTAAAAATAAAAGTACCTCCGAGATTAAGGGTCAAATTGCGAGCTTGGATGACCCGAAGAAGGGACAAAGCCAGAGTGACGGCGAATTTACCACCTTCAGACTACGCAAAGATGTACAAAGGAGCGTTTCGTAGGCCGACAATGTAGTTCGAAACCTCAGCCGGCAAAGTCATCATGTCGATCGCCGCCTCCATATCGCCTTTCGTAAATTCACCTCCACTCTCCACATAGCTACATCCGGTCCCGACTGGATTATCCTATTTTTTTAATGTTAAAATCATAAATTTAGTCGAAAAATATTAGAATTTAAGGTTAAAATGACCGAAAATTAAAAGGAAAAGGAGTTGACCACAAACAAGAGGTCTGCTTTTTTCAGCCATGTTGAGTTTCTTGGCATCAAGTTTGAGTTCAATGGCCCGATATCCAAGAAGTTCCCAAACCTAGTTCCCGAGCCACCCTATTTTTCAATATTTGAGCCATTTTCTTACAAAATACCCAAAATTTATAAATAAATCATTGGGAAAGATCGGTAGCTCACTGGTCCGCCTTGCAACAAGAGAATGGTCGGCCATGGCTTGGAACTGACGTCCACTCTGGAAGGACTTCTATAAAGCCACCAAAACATATGGGCTTCTGAACAACACATTCCAAGAACAAATATATAAAAAATAATGACTAAAATAAAATAGAAGGAAAATTAATGAATTTGGCTTACTGGGTCTGACTTGAACGTAGCCCCATTCTTCAGATCCGTCTTGAGATTTGTCAGTTATGGAAGTTCCGACATGAAACAGAGAAGAGGAAGTAATGAGAACGAAACAGAGATGAAGAACTAATAGTTTAGCCATTGTCGAGAGAATGAAAATCTTAGGTTCTTTAAAAATGGTGATAATGGATGACGATGAGACTTTTAGGTATTTATTGAATGGATCAATTAATTGGGAGAAGACAAGATTAGGGTTATAAAGTACAAAATGAGCAATGACAGACGCCATTGGACAGCACAAGATACAAGGACAATAAACAAGGTGACAATAGAGTGGGAGTAGAACCTAACTTATATTTTCTATTTTTCTTTATATCTTTCAATTGATTTTATTCCCATTTTGATATGAAAATTGAAATTATTTAATAAAAGTATATATTTAGAATTTTTTTAATGTAGAAATTTGTGGAGGTGTGGAGTCATTTAGTTACTAATTTAGTCCATTGATTAAAATTAATTTTGTGTTGTATTTGATTTTATTAAATGTTTTGAATGTTTGTGTTTTGTTTGGTTAAAATTAATGAATGAATTAATGAAAATTGAATATTAAGATTAAATTTTTCACGAAGTATAGGATCTAATTTTATAATATAAAACATTTAGTTGTAAAAATTAATACGTATAATTGAGATTTTTTTTAAGGTAGTATTTCTAAATGATAAAGATCGTACCACTACAAATTTAAGATTATACTTCGCTTAATTAAACGATAATTTGTATTTTTATGAACATTAGAATTGATGAATATCTTAAGTCTTATTTAGTAACTGTTTAGTTTTAAAAGTTGGGGTTGTTTTTTCTTTTTTTTCTTTTTTCTTTTTTTTGATAATTTGGAAGTAGTATTTTTAAATTTAATTTTTTGAAATAAAAAATCAAATGGTTATTAAAAGAAGCCTAAATAAAATAGGACTAAATACAACCTATAAAATTTAAAGATTATTAAAGGATGTCAATACCAGGATTCATATTTTGAACATGGTTGTGGAGGAGCTCGGGGGCTATTTAATGTCATGAATAGGATCCGGGTTTGTGGTCTTTGTACCAACTTCTCATATATACACTTTCACTCAATTTTTTAAAATGGGAAAAGATCCGTACAAAGGAATAATATATTCTTTTAATAACAAATATGATAGTGATTTAAACCTTAAGCGTTAAAGAAAAGACTAAATACCTTAATCATTATGAAAGAAACATTTTTATTTGAGAATGGTGGGTATAAATTGTAATGAGCAAAATAGGAGGAATGATTGAAGATTTCCCATAAACACATGACATGATTCATAATCTCATTAATATTTGATTCTTTTAAAGAAAATATAATTTTTCTTTTAATACAATAATCGGGAGTTTGAGAAAAAAAAAATCTAGCCAAACTACCATTATAACATCAACATTTTATTCATATAAACAACTATCTTTACGAAGTGAAAGGAAAAAAGTAGAAACCAACCAGAGTTGGATCAACCTTTGTGAAGGAAGTTGAGTTAGAAAAGTAAACTTCATCGAGATTCAATATTGGAAATAGGAGAATTGGAAGGTCCTTTTGTTGGGAGAGTAGTAGTAAGTACCTAAATGTTATAAGAATTTGATCAAATAATTTTATGGTCTCTTTTGATAGTTAGAGTATTTTTTTTAGCTATTTAGTTGAACTAATTTACCATATTTGTGGTTAGTTTCTATTTATTTATGTCGTTATTGTAAGGCTATAAAAGCCAAAGTTAAATACTCAATAATATTATCGCTTCAAACTCCAATCGTTTATGTTTCTGTGTTAATCATTCTTTTGTCAAAAACTTATAATTGGCCTCAAAACCACCACTAGGCTTTGTAGTGTAGTAATTTTTTAGTGATCAAATACAGAGAGTATGAGTAAAGACAAGACTTTAACGAAGATCCCTCACTTCGATGGTCTCTATGATCACTGGAGTGAGCTGATGGAAAATTTGCTCAAAGCAAAGAGTTTATGAAGTGTGGTAGAGATTGGTTTCTTAGAACTAGCGGAAGAAACAATGCTGACTAAGGCACAAAAGGGTCACCTTGATGATACTAGATTCAAAGATCACCAAGTAAAGCATTACCTCTTGTTGTATTATCCATTGAGGAATCCAAAGATACTGATAACATGTCCATTGATGAATTACAAAGTTCATTAGTGGTGCATGAACAAAAATATTGAAGATCAAGCAGTACTGGAGAGGAGCAAGTTCTAAAAGTCGAAGGTCGAACGGAAATAAGTAATAGAGGAAGAGGAACTTACAGGAGCAGAGGACACAGAAGAGGAAAATCAACTTTCAACAAAGCAACTGTTGAATGCGGTTCTGGAGTTAAACTCATGTCTATGATGAAAAATTGAAAATGGCTCAAAATATACTATAGGGGTACCATGGTGTCAGCTCTTTACCACCCCTGGGCCATGTGGCCTAATCGAGCTACCCTGTGGCACATACGTGTGTCACAATATGGGTTTGCGTACCGAGACGAGTGTCGAAGTTTTCTATATAGACCCGCTATCCGATACGGTATATGTAAATGACATGGAACTGGCACGGGAGAGCTAATGCCTCGATAGAATTCGGATGGATGGATGTTTGGGACGTTCCAATAAGATGAGCGACATGTGGGTCCGTTCTCAATGGCATGAGCGAGGGAGTTGCGATGGCCGACGACACCGCGAGATTCAAGGTGGCCTCAAGACATATGGGCCATATCGATGAGGATCGCAATAAAAATATGAGACGTGACATTGCATTGAAAGAACTTGGCCCTGAGCAGAGGTAAGGTCGAGCCGAATGACTTGGCCTAGTGTAGAGGCAAGTCGATTGTGTCGCAGACGATTGAACATGCACGCACAGGCAACGTGTGTGGTTGAACAAGCTTGGATTCCGCACAAGCGATGTTTGATTGGTGAAGACAAACCTCACCTAAGGTCCAATGACGCCACAAAGATGGGGTGAAAAATATATATGGGGCTTAATTCCCCTTAAGGCTAGTCGTGAGCGTGTCAAGATCACCACACAACTATGTTGAAAAAGTAGTACTGTGACAGTTGGTATCAGAGCCATAGTTTGTGTGTCTAGTGGGACAACATAGTCAAGAGAAATGAACTTGAGAGTTGATTGAAGACCTTGCAAGTGTGTCAAGAGTGCCAGAGTGGGCAAGACAGTTTCTGGTCAGAATTAGAATAAGTTGTGGGCTGAAACCAAGTCTACGTGAAGTTCATTAATGCTGTGTGTCGACACTTCAGTGTGGGGAGATCTACCCATCAAGTAAAACCAAGCTCATTTGCCAAGCGCTTTTAGTCCCTAAGTGGGCAAGACAGATGAAACAAAAAGCAAACCATGTCGGTTCTTTCTAAAGAGCCATTCACATTAGAGGAATAGTGTCAGTGGTTGCAAGCATCGGCCAAGTGCCAAAGTTGAGTACAACGCAAGTCCTTATGGGAGGATGAATTTGCTGCAAAGAGGCAACCGAGTTTAAGTGGGGGAGAGCCCAAGTAATTAAGTATCTCACCCCGTAGAGGTGCTCTAAGGTGCGAGTACACGTGTACTCCTTGAGCCATCACATTATGCCTAAAGTGGATGACTCCACAAGAGTTGTCAAGACCAATATCAACTCGAGAAGTGAGCATCAACTGGAAGTGGACATAGAGAAGTGAAGCTACAACATGACCACAAAAGCATCAAGACGGCATTGCCACACGAAGGTGGCCAATTAGGAGTTGGCGAAAGTGTAGCGCCAACACAGAGTTGTGTTACAAATTTTAAAAGAATTGACAAGAGTGTAAAGCAAACACAGAGTTGTGTTACGAGCTTTGCAGACATCCAGTTAAGAGTTGGCTAAAGTGAAGCACCAATACGGGGTTGTGTTACAAGCTTTCATACATTGCTACTATAATGGTTGGTGCCACAATGAATAAATGTCGTGGTTGGCTTGCGAGCCTCACCTTAAGGGGTGCACCATTGTGTGCGACTCAGAGAATACAATGAGTGTGGCCAAAGTGGCAAAAATTTAGGGAGCTCTCCCCCTAGCCAAGGAAAGAGTATGTCAAAGCTAGTTAGTTTGCCATTGTTTTTCCGGTGAATCCTGGGTCAAGTTTACAGAAGGGCGAGGGAGGCCCAAGAAGGGATAGCCCACAACCATAGTGCATTTATTTTACAGTACTTGTGTTGCAAGTCTCGGAGGCCGAGAGTAGGTTCGTCAGTGGGATAGCTTATAAGTAGTGCGCATTTTCTGTATTCGTTTTGAAGCATGCATTTCAAGTGGGTTCGTCAGCAGCCAGTCTAGGGTTGGGTCGTCATTGGGGACAATGGCTAGTTTAAGTGGGGGAGAATGTCACAACCTAACAATGGTTGTGCCACCAAGTAAGTCATCGAGAACGATGACTAGTTTAAGTGGGGGAGAATGTCACAACCTAACTATGTAGAGAGTAGGTTGTGGCCCTCACGTTGCGACAAGAGAAGGGCCACACTCAAGTGGCGCCCATCCGACCACACGAGGGTCTAGACGAGTGCCATCATGCGACCGAGGAGGGCGGTGCATCATCTAATATACCACACAACGTAGCCATTGAAGACAAGTTGAGACATAAGCAAGATAAAGACATCGAATAAACAAGAGTGACAAAGATAGGCTTGTTGAAGGGCCGGGTAGGGTCCCAAGCCACAAGAAAAATATATATGGGGCTTAATTCCCCTTAAGGTTGGTCGTGAGCGTGTCAAGATCACGATGGCGCGCGGTTGAAAAAGTAAGAACGGAGGACATCATCTCGTCTATATCCTTGTTACTGATACCGTGACCTTGCCTCTCTATGTAAGCATGTATAAACGGGTCAAATGTAAAATTGACTATTTCAATTGAAAATAGAGCAAACTATCATACATAGAAACAAATGGAGAGTGATGTAATATGGATTAAATAGTCTTCTATGAACCGGTTCAACTTTATGACGGACAAAATCAAAATGTTATTTTATTTAATAGGAAAGAAATTGGATGGCATCGTGAAGAAAGTCTGTATGAGCTAATAATGTCAATGTATGACAAAGAATCATAAGAGAGAAACTAACTTTGATTTATCTTC